CAGCAGTACTTTAAAAATCTCATTACGAACTGAAATGGGTATTTCTTGTGGTGCTACAGCAAACCCTGAATTTCTTTATTGTTTCATTATGTGTGTTCTGAATACAGAGACAGGCTCTCCCACAGATAAAACTCAGAACAGTGTAGCATAAATGATATCCATAAATAATTATTTGCTTAGCTTATCCACTAAAAATATCACTCCTGCTTGAAATATATAAACCTGGATATCACTCAAAACCAGGAACATTACATGTTAAGTCTTTGGTGCGTTCTGCAGCATTACATGAAAGATGTCACTACTTCAAATTCAGTGTTAGAACTTGATACTTTATTTTTTTGTAGAGGATGGGTAAACTAGAATATATCTTCTTCTTTCATCCTTTATCATAGCTACAAATATCCCACTTAGAAGCAAGGTTATGCTTAGAAATATATTGCTGGGCTTCATGTTATGGATCTTAAAAAAAAAAAAAGAAAACTTAACCCACAGAAGTACCTGTAAATTGAAAGTATAGTTTTGCATTACAAACTGATCTTGTATCACATTTTATAAACAGCAGGATTGTCTTAAAACAAAAAAGGTGACTAATGTTCTGTCTACCATGCGTGCATTCAGAACTTGCTATTATGGATGTGCTCCAGTAGGGATTTTTTCTGTTTTCTTTGGCTCTATTGCATAAAGGAGGGCTGTCAGCCAGCTAAGCAAAACAGCTGTGACTTGGGAGCCCAGTGGAAGAGAATGGGCCCTGTAGAAGATTTGGCTGTTGCATGTAAGCTTAAATTAAGCTTCTAAAAGGGACAGAATATTCTGTGGCAATCATTGGAAACTGAGTGACATTATTAATACAAATGTTCTGCAAAGATAATGGACAGACCTGCTTATCTGTAAATAGCAAATAAAAAGCTCTAATAAAATAATATTGAAATAAATTTCAATGCTTTTTATGATGGAGTTCCTCACAGGAAAGTCTTTTATACAGCTTCAAGTTGCTACTCGTTTTTGAAAGTTAATGCCATGATAACTTTCAATAATATGACTAGTGCACATTCCTATGCTGCATTAATTGTACATTTACAACTCCAAAGAAGCCATGCACAGAGGAAAAATACAGGACAAACATCTGCAGCTGGAGACAAATGAAAGCAGTGGCTATCACCCCTGCAGCATTTTCATTAGATATAACTATTCTTATCCAGCATTTGTATGCATTAAATAATCATCATGCTTCCCTAGCTCCCCTCCTTCCCTGGAGAGGTCTGTGGATCTAACTGACACTCTTGTAGGACTTACCACTTCTACAGAATACCAAACAGAGATCGAAATTCTTTCCCCTGGCATCCTAATTAGGACAGTATGATGTTCTATGCTTTCAAGTCCTAAAGTCAGTGAAGGAACTGAACAAAGTCTGCTACATTCACATCAACAATTACTTACTCTTTTTTTGTCCCCACGTAACTTTTTCACTCCATGTCATTTAGTACAAAATCCTGCCATAACCAAATTTGTGCAAAGATCTCCATAGTCAGAGGGGAATATTTTTTGTTGCTAACACATAGCTGTTTAGATACCCATTCTCCTTTTTCTAGGACACTCCTGTTGCAAGAAAACCTTGAATCTTTAGTTTTGTGTGGCTGGTTCATGAGTGGAGCTGTGGCAGGGAACAGAAAAAGGCATTAGGATACTTAGGGAAGGGGAAGAAAATATAATCTCAATGCCAGCAAGAACAAGCTGATGATACAACTGATTTTAAATCTTCTTCCTAGGTGGGAGACTAACAGAAAACAGCTGAGATTTGAAGAATGCTACTGAACTGGAAAGAATATTATGACACTAGAAAAATAATGCAGATTGTACTTTGCTGATATGGAAATATGCAATAACAGCAATTAAATTAATTTGTGTCCCCTACTGAAACAGCTCATTTTTTTCCTTGCTTGCAAAATATTAAATATCCAAATACACCAGTTATGAAGAAAAAGTGACATTTTAAAGAAAATATCTTAACCAGAGACCATTTACAGGATAGTCTATTGCCCCAGTTCCTACTGTGAATCTATGCACACACACAAAGTTTGCCATTCTCAGGTTTTATTTAGACATTAATGCCAAAACCACTCTCTGTGATTCAAATCTGTTCTTGGGATTAAGCTGAAAAGAAAGAATACTAAATAAAGAACTCAAATGTTTCTATAAAGTTTATTTATGACCTTCTACGGAGCTCCACTCACAAAAGACACCAGAATAGTTCAAAATGTTGAGAACAAAAATATGACATTTTATCCATGTGTTTTTGACACAGTCCTTTAATATACCCAATTTTGGAACTGTGACACTAGAAAAACTCCTCGATTCCTAAACAAGTTTTTCAAATCAAAATAACATTGCACTGACACGTAAGCTGCGGTAGGATTACAGATCAGGAAAGGGTAGCTGAATTTTTGTAACAAACAAGAATTTTTACATCCTCAAATGTTTGTAAGCTGGGGAGAGTTTTTAATTCATATAAGCCTAAGACTGCATAGCTTTTCAGTTTGATTCGGGGCACTAGAAGGAATAGGGATTATATGTGCACACAGCTCAAAATAGTCTTCATGCAGGTACCTGGGCCAATCACTAGCAATACATAGCATACAGTGTAAAGCCCCTCTCTACCACACTTCAACTCTGCTGATTTTCCAGGCTACACCTAATATTTTGCCTGTCTCTCTTTGAAGTGAAAATTCCATTATGGGCTGATAATTATCGATAGCACTGCTGCTGGAGTATTTCACAAAAATAAAAAAAAAAAAAAAAAAAAAAAAAAAAAAAGGAGGCTTTAAAAACACCTCTAATCAGCAATTTATTGAGATGATTCTGAGCAGCCCTAATTGTGACAAACTGAAAATACAAGAAATATCTGGGAAATAGAAGATGAAAAGATCCATCTGCATATGCAAATAGTAGATTATGGTTTGGGTTTTTTTGCTTTAATAGACCTCAAATGGACCTTTGGATCATAAAATCCAGAAATTCCCAGGCATGCCTGTGAAAGCACTAGCTCTTTGTCCCATCATCAAACCCTTCACAGAAAAATAGGAAACAACTCAGAAATCAGATAAAATATTAGACTCCCCCAACACTGGGTAGAAGATACAACTCAGTTCTTAACTGAGGTCACTTTTGGTGTGGCTGCATTTTTTTGCCTGGTTGAGCAGCTGTGTAGTACAGCTTAATTTCCAGGTGGATTTGAACCATGACAATTATGTGGAGAGGTCTACAATGCATTATAAGATAAATAGATCCTTGAGTGTCTACTGCCATTCACCTCCCATAATTCTGATGCTGCCTGAAGTGCATCTTTACAAAATCTAATTGGGTAAGGATTTAATCATAATCTACCATACCAAATTTATGTTGCTTCTTCCAACACTCCATCTCCATGCAGTCTCACCACAGTTCCTAATCAAGGTAATTAAGTACTATATATACATAAAACCAGAATCTACACTGAAAAATTTTCTAATTTTGTATGGTTTTTTGTGTTTCAGAGTAGCCTTGCACTCTTTAAATATTTACCTTGGGGTCCATTTTACCTGCTGACAGTATTCTTCCTTACATCCTCTGCATTAGAAGACTAATCACATTAGATGCCATGTATGCACTGCCTTGTATTTTGTCATTATTCTGTTTGGCAGATGACAGTGAAGAAGAGCTGAGACATCCTCAAAAGCTTCCTTCCATTAACGAAAATGAAAAATCTCATTTTTTCACACAGAGTGTATTTTTGGTAAATAAGAAACAAAACTAACAGAAATTGAATATGGATAAGCTAGAAGCATTTTCTGATATGATCAAACTCAGAACATTTAAAAGGCAGTGATGAGGGCATTATCAGATTTGATTTTGAGATGGAAGAGCAACTTCCATCTGCGTACATCAGGAAGTTCATTAGCTGCACCACAGAGTTATACACCCAAGTCCCTGTGCTCATAACTTGAAAGGGCATGGACACACGTACACTAACGTGTATGTACTGAGACATGAACACATCTGTGCTGTGCTGGATGCGTGGTTCTTACCCTCTTTGAAAGCCATCATGGTGCACTTCATAGTTGCTGCCTGACTGCAGCACCCTGGCTTGTGCTTGGTTTTTCATGTGGATTCCTCCTCTAGCACTTTGGGAGCCTTGAAGGGTAAGATCTGAACAGAATCATCCAGCAGTGGCTTCAAGGGCAAGCAAAACCTCTAGGCACCAGTGGAACAAGGTTTGATTCTAGTCTGATAAAGGACTGACAAATGGCACACAAGGATTAAAAAAGCAAAACCAAGAGGCAAATAAAAGCGAGTCTAGCAAAAAATACATGGATTATTTTCAGACTATTAAATTTTACAAAATAAAGTATTTGTGTCCTGAGTGCTCTGCATTTGGAACCCAGGAAAATATACTTAAAAAGTAAGGGACAATGATGCTGAGCAAAATTGCTCTCTTTTGGGCTCACATTGTACAAAATAGTACTACTGATCCAATTGCATTTGAAAGATTCAGGACTTCCCTTTTCTCCAGAATCTCTGGGACAGGCATTTTGGTTTAGGAAACATGTCATCATTGCCAATTTTAGTTGAAATGCATTTTGCTTGCAAACCCCATTAGCAAGAGAAAGGAGGTGGATTTTCAGAGAATATGTTTGTGATGGAAAACTAAAAGAAAGGAATTTTGAAAGGACAGGAAAGATGAAGACAATTCATGAAAAGTGCTCCAAGCATAGCTGCACATGAGATACATTCTTGAGATTAATGAATTTGTTGTACATGCCCATAATTATTTCCATTCACATGGAACAGGTCCAGCTGCTTTCAGCATCCACAAATGAGAAACAGAAGGAAGCAGAAGAGAAACAACCATATTTTGCTATGTCCAACAGTTAAAATCACTGGATGGCAAATAAATTATGCTAAGCACAATTAAACACAGAATTAACAGTAATCATTTGTAACATAACACAACAAGACAGCTGAGATGAATGAGAAATGGCTTTTATTGCAGCATATTGAGAAACTGAATGATATGTTGCCAAGATACATGTTTACAGAAATATGAACCTGAGGTCAAATATCTGGTTGGCTTCTAGTGGAACATGTATTCATCTACTCCTTGTTTGTGGATGTTTCTAATCCCTTCTCCTACTTTTGTGTGTGAGGAAAACTCCTACTCTTGTAGTAGCTACCATTTTAGCATTACAAAGGGCTGGAATGCTAGTTCAAATCCAGGCTCATGCAGCTGACATTTGGTTATTAGTGAGTGGATTAGACATGCCCAGTGCCAGGGGAGAGATGGCACAGCAGCTGCCATCTCTCATTTAAAGCAGTCTGCTTTAAATCTCTGTGATCTTCAGAACGCTGCTGCTGACAATAAAACAAGGCAAACTCAGCTAGGCTGTGCCTGCACAGTACGTCATGGGCAGATGGAAGCCTGGTCCACATGGGCTCCAGTACAAACGACTGTGTTCCAAGAACCATGTCCCAGTTACAGCAGATGCTGGGCTGGGCTGATATATCCAAGGCTTGGATCCTCAAGCCTTGAGTCTTGAAAGCTTGGTCTTCCGATGGCAGCAATGCAGGCATTCAGGTTTGGTCAGCCTGGAGCACAAGTACAGCAAACACACACAAGACTAAGAAGTACCATTTAGACTTTCTCACAGTTACAGCTATGTTAGGGTTCTAAGGTCCAGGTACATGAATTTGTTAAAAAAAATCTCCTTCATCTGTTGCTATAACAACTCTCGGTTTTCTAGTCAGCAACAGCCTTGGCCCTGACTTAAATTGTTATTTCTTTTATTGCATTCTATAATATCTTTCAAAGATATTTCCAATGACCATGGTAAAACAGCAAACTATCACCTTTCATTGGATAATTATAACTCAGCCATGGAAGAGAACCACAGCATGCCCCAGCACCCTTGGAAAAATTTGGCCCAGGTTTACATTGTGGAGATAATTGCCCAAAAATACTACAGAGCTGGGTTACTTCTGTAGTGTGCCTCCAGTTCTAGGAGATGAGGAGTGCTCCTAGGAGCTACAACAAACAGACATCAAGTCAGTGCACCTAGCATGCCAGAAAGATATGGATAACCTCTAAAATCAATGTGTTTAAAAGCTAGGGGTGTGATACTTCAGCTTTTCCTTCTTAAGTTGCAGGCATTCCTGCTCAATGCAAGAAAAAAACAATCAGCTTTCAGCACAAAGCTCTTGGACATTATCCTCTGAGTTAGGAGGAGATAGGGAATCTGGAACCATTTACAGCCATACCAGGATCACTGCTGGCAGTCTGTGGGATGTTCCTTGAGACATGCAGAGGAACCACCTTCCAGCTTTCCTGTTTCACTGAATCTCCACCAAGGAGCTTCTGTTCCCATAGCACATAGAAGGACTCTTCAGGCTCTGTCTTCCGGCAGCATTTTACCTCCTGTGTCAGACACAGAAGTGGGCTCTCTCTATCAAAACACAGCTATTCCACAGGTTTTCCATCATCTTTGAATGATGGGCTGAGTATAACAATTGATACATAGCTCCTGATATGAAAAAAAAAGGCAGAAAATTCCCATAGTAGGCAAGTGAATGTAACAGCAGCTTTGAAGGAGAGGAGACAGGCAGGGCCACAATGAAATTGTTTCCTTAAGAATGTGAGTATGCCACTTGCCTACAGATTTCACTGGAAAACCAGGTTCAAAATAAAGAAGCCTCAATCTATTTGGTTTCTCTCTGCTCTCTTTTCTCCTAAAGAGTACCTGACAGGTGGAAACTAAGCCAAGAGAACAGAGTGCCTGCATAAACCGTTAATGGAGACAAATGCCAGTTGTAGATGTCAACTGCAATTCTTCATTCCTTGCTGATAGCACAAGGCTCCACAGAGTAATGCCAAAATGTTAGGGCAGAAAATTCACTCATGGCTCCCCCAGTCCTTTTGTGACTTTTTAAACAGCTTTTTGTTTTTAAAAAGCAATTTCACTCTGCTACTTGCATTATGCCGTGTAGCTTTGTCACAGTTGATCTTCATTAAAACTGAAGACACTATAATAGAAGGCACAATTTTAGAGTAAAGGTAATTGTTCTGTAGTCTGATCCATTGCTCGTGCCAGCATGCAAAGTAATGTGCACTCACACATGCTGTGTAGCAGTGGATTTCCCAGTTTGTTTTGATTTAGGAATTACAGTGAAACAATCTCTTAGAAGCATTTATCTACAAATGCAGAGTCACAGATAGAAACAAGACTTCAATTCACAGACAGGAGAACCTGGAAATCTTTCAGGGTTTAGCATGAAGACGAGACTTTTTTGATTTTGTTGACCTTTCAAGAGTATGATTTGCTGGAATGATCCTTTTGTTTTTGTTTCTGTGAACTAATATGATTTCACTTTTGTAGAGTGAAGGGGAACTGAAGTCACAGGTATTTTTGCCTCAACCACAAAATGGGGTGTTGCACTTTGAGCCTCTACAACTGCATAAATATGAATTGTTTGCTGCTATGCTCCAATTCTTGGTGTGTTGACCAATCTCCAAATTAAGGGAAGACAGAGCAGTTTAAGTGCACCAAAGTTCTCTCAATAGCTGTCCTTTGGCACTGTAACTCTTCCTACCCCGAAACCTCAGCTATGGCTTCCCTCAGCTGTAAGACTGCCTGTCTGAAACCACAGTGGTAATCACATATCCTCTGAACAGAGAGAGACATAGCTCTCTCCCAGGATTTTCCTGGGAAGTTGTGAGAAAGCTTAGAGAAAAGAATGAGAAACAATACTTATCTTCACTTGCTGCATCTGTTGTTGTGCACATGTGGGATGTGTTATGGAGATTTGTTTACCAAAGGGTGATTTTTTTACTTGGACATTGGTGATGGTGTTTTGGATTCATTGACCAATTGGATCCACGAGTGTGTTGTGACTGTCTGGCAAGGGTGTTGGGTTTTTCTTAATAGTATAATATAGTGTAGTAAGAATAAAGCAATTGATCAGCCTTCTGCAATCATGGAGTCAATGTTATTCCTCGATGGGGACCACTGCTACAATAGAAACCCAGTGAGTATCATTTTAAAGTAGCTGATTTACAGAGTATCTGTTCTGAATCAACAACCAGCAATGCAAGGCATGTGCTCATTCAATGGGTATTATTTGCCTGGAGTATATCTGTCCATTTAGTATTTGATAATAAAATGACTGAGGCATTTCACAGTAAAATGTGCTTGCTGAGAGGCTGCCTGAGCTGGGGAGCCAGGGAAAGATACTTTGCCCTTAATAAGTTTAATAGAGGCAGTTATGTTCAGAAGATAGCACCTGATCTGTCAGAAGTTGCTTTAGACTTTCTAAAGGGGGTAAATGTTTAGTAATAGTTTCCTGAAAAAAGGGCTAGATTCTTTCTTTATTGCATTAGTGTAGATTTAATGGGGAAGGAGTGGAGAGAGAGATCCAAATAGAGGTGGAAACCAACATTTGAATATACATAGAGACTCCCAGGAAATCAGTTCAAAGTCTAATGCAATTGACTTGGAGGGTCCTGCATCTAGTGATACTCCTGAGTGCACAGGAAAATTATGCCGTCCTGAGAATTTGAGCCAAAAATCTTCCAGTGTGAACAGATTGACTAATAGAGAAGAGGATGTATTCTTTTTGGTTAACAGATTAACAGAACAGCTTACTTTTTATTATATATGCATGTTTTGTCAGTATTTTAGATTTTTGAACATTGTAAAAACTCATGCATCTAGACTTGATCTGGCTTAAGGACAATTCCTGGGGTTTTGTTTAATAGCAAGATACTCCTTATAGCATTGTGATGATCTTTTAAATGGAAATATCTGAATACTAGCAAGAAAAACCTTTCTTGAGAGCCTCCAAGGGAGACCTAGCTGTGCCTGCCATAGCCCTTTACAGGCTGTTCTTTGCACAGATATTACCATATTCTTTTTGAGGGCAGAACCAAGGACAAATAATGAGAATTCTGGTAGAGATCGATCTAGTAAAGGTTATTATTAACAGATCATATGCAATGATGAAGGAGAAGGACTGTCAGGGAAATGTTGATTCTTCATCCAGTTTTGCTTTTAGTAAAATAACTGGGCCTGTAAGCTAACATGTTAACTCTTTCAGCCCTGTTTACTCTTGAAAACTTCAGTCAGGCAAGGAATACTATAACTATGGATGCTATAGGCAACATTAAGATACAAAGTTTGGCAGAAGACTTATCACGGTTGTGTACCAATCAGAAATGGCTCATGTCAAGAACACACACAGTTAAAAAGCAAACTGAAACACACATTTTAGAAAATCATCTCAATTTCTGAGAAGCAATTACTTCCACCTACATATCTCGTTTTAAAGTCCAGTCACTTAGAATGATCTGCTTATAAAACTTCTGCATGAGAAAAAGGAAGGAAAAGAAAGATAAGCTTGGATTACAACTTCATAGAGTGAAAAAGGACTAAGATCTTCAAAACCATTGTCTCATTTTTGTAAAAATACATATTTATAAAACTTATTAAGCAATGAGGCAAGCCAGGATTTTATACTAGTATTTTGCCTTTGACTAACACAGTTGCACTTTATCTCAAATTGCAGTTGTCTATGTCAAAAGATTAATTTAACTCTAGCATTGATGTAATAGATTGAGCTGACCAAATCAAACTCACACTCAAAATACATAGTTATGTGTGCATGTTTGATGAGCAAGGACAGTTTAGCAACCAGTCTGAATAATAATAATAATTGCATCCTTCCTGTAGACAGCTCATTGTCTCCAAAGTATTGCAGATTTGAAATTTTCTGCTTTGTTCATCAGAATTCAGAATGGTTACCAGATATCACCCAAGAATTACAGATACAGTCCATAAATGACAGGTCAATTAAGAAGGCAACATGAATTCCTAAAAATGCTGGAGAACAAGGGTTGCACAGAATACATTACAAAGAAATTGCAAAAGTGACTTGATTTTTGAAACAGAAAATCAGAACACAGGATGAGAAGTAGGAAAGTGCAGAAAAATGAAGATAGAGCTATAATGCACTCTGTGAATACTTACCTCCTACTGGAGCTGAAAACCTGTCAAATTCAGAAAAGCAAAAAAAGTTGAAAGCCGTAAGAAAATATCTAAGTCGGTAGCAACATCTAAAACTTAAGCATCCTCTGATTTTGTGCAGGCAGAGAGGATGTGTTAGGTTACTGTTACAGTGCCATAAAAAAACCAGCACAGGACTGTGAAGAAGCTACTGAACAGCTTGAAACAAATAGCACAGATGGATCTAGAAATCACTTGCCTGCAGATGACAGCTTCAGCAGAAGGTGGTACACTGGCTGTAGGAATCAGCCATTGCCCTCCTACCATGGAGGTATCCATTGTTTCTGTCACTTTTTATATCACTGGTACCAAAACAGGCAAAATAATTCACTTACTGGGTTCAAACTGGGCCAAAGAAAAAGATAACTCAACTCAAATAATTTGAGCTGAGTGAAGTTTTTCTGGTAAATAAAGTCTTCTGAAATATGCACTTTTGAGCAAACCAAAACATTGCATGAGATTAACTAAATTCCAAGGAATATTTTTGAAACAAGATAACTTGGGGGCAAAAAGCCCCACCTTAAATAAAAATGTTCATTTAAAATTATTTTTTTGAATCAAATATCATGATTGGCAATTTTGTGTTTAGATATCAGATTTTTCAGTTTAGTTGCTGAGGTCAAATAACATAAAAAATAGGATAAATAACATTAACCATAGAATTTTTCTACAGAGCAGAATACTTGGTTTCTAGTAAAACAATATATTTGGACTTGATTTATTAATTCAGCCTTACCTTTTTTTTTTTTTTTTTTTGCACTTGCAAACCAAATTTAGTTGTGAAATACAGTGATTTAAAATAACTCTAACAAATCTAACTGGAATGAGCTTCAGAGTCATAGCTCTTGTGTTGCTCTGAGGGAGCAAAGGCAGACTACAGAGTTCCAGCAGCCCCTGGGAAAACTCTACAAGCACGATTAAAGAAACTGCTTCTCTACCTGTCCAGAACCAAGGTACAGGGATAAGTCATGGTGTTCAGCTTTGCTCCCTGCCCCTTCATTAGCATGCTAAAGGAACCAGTGTCTTCAGAGATTACTGAGTTCCACCCCTGGCTCCAACTGCAAATGAGTAACTTACCTGATACACAGGGAGGACTCTTGTCCAACACACAAGTAGGATTAAATAAAACAAAAAGATGTTTCAACTTCTCTATCCTTTAGTATCAAGGGTGGTCCAAAGTCACAGATCAAGATTGGTAAAAACCCATGGACAGAGGCTGGGCCACCTCAGAAATACAGGTTTGACATTTTTCACTTTTCTATCTATAGAATGGAAATAAAACCAATTGAGTTTTATAAAAGTCAATATGCATTATTGATTTCAAGGTATTCAAAGGCACTATAATAACCTCTTCAGGCACTAGAATAACAACAGGCTCTATAAAAACCATATGAATAAATATAAAGCTACCAAGTTGGCCAGAGTAGGCCTTTTCTGCTAAATAAAAGGAATTATTTTAACATGGACATAACTAATGCACTGCTGAATTATTAACCTGCATGAGTATGCCAAAGTGACTAGTTCATTATTAAGGTTTCCATCTTTGCAAAACTGTAAAAAATTTTTTCAATAAAATAATTTTATACTTTCAGTCTAACTCATTAAAGAATAGGTAATAACAGTAGTTATGCAGTAATGAAAGAATAATCAGGTATGCTCAAAAAATCTGGAAAAAAGGAAGAAGAAATGCTTCAGGTGTGACATTTTTATCACAATCATAACTTCCCAAGAAACAGAACAGTGAGAGCCTGATTGAAAATGTTTGCCAACCTATATTGGAAGTATCTCTACCAGCCTCTGTTACACCATCTATGCTCAATAATACTATTCAATCAATGTATCCCAGACTCTTACTTAGGAATATAAATTTTAACTAAATAACTGTATTTCTAGCAAAAGACAGACTAAGAATGGTATATTGTTGCAATAAATAAAAATAATAACAAGATTAGAACGTCCAAGCCAATGCAATACCTTTGAGATGGTTTAATTAAACTGGATCAAACTGGGACTAATTTGTTCCCTGTCATCATCTCAGGTAGGAGCTCTGAAGAAAGTCAATATGTCAGATCTAACTGTGCTTTATTTAATGTGAAAATAGCAATAGATTCTCTAGGGATCACCAGAGTGGTAAAACAACTTTTTAATTAGTTAGTAAACTCATTTCACCACTGCTTGGAGAAATAGCCTGCCACAGTCCCTTGGCTGTTGTCTCCATAAAACATCTGTCCCACATGGCAGCGACAGAACTGCACTGAGATATCAACCCTTGGAGTTCCATGCATCCCTCTGAAACACCCCACAGTGGCTGCTGTCAAAGAGAAGGTGTTAAAGGTGAGCACACCCTCTTGAATAATACCACAGACCAGGAAATAAGAAATAAATGAATTGTCATCCCACCTTCCTGACAACAAATTCCTGAACGAGGGTTGGTGAATAAAAGGTATCCAGGTCTTCCACTAACTGTCACCCAATTGTAATGACAAACTAAAATTGTTTATCTGGTATCACAGGTGCTATGGCTGTTTCCCTCAGTATTCATTGTATGTATGGAGCCAGGAAAGGTATGGTGACAACAGACCTGCCACTGGAGAAATGGGGCTTCTGGAAGGGAGAAGAGCCCAGTACTCAGCTGAACAACCAGAAGGTCCCATCAAGCTCAGATATAGGCTTGGAGGAGAATGGATTGAAAGCAGCCCTGCTGAGAAGAATCTGGAGGTGCTGGTGGACAAGAAACTCAACATGACCCAGCAAAGCCAATGTATCCTGGCGTGCATCCAAAGCAGTGTGGCCAGCAGGGCAAGAGAAGGGATTCTTCCCCTCTACTCTTGCGAGAACCCCTCTGGACTGCTGCGTCCAGGCCCGGTGTTGTATTGCACTGTAGCAGGCCCAGGGCCTGCAAGGCCTCCTTGGCGGTCAGAAGCCTGAGCTAGGAAATGCCAAGTCACGATGACTCGGGCCTTAGAAGCCCCTCTCTTCTGCCTTTCGGATCCTGCTTATCTCTCTATAAGCCTGTACGTCACTTTCCCCTGACCCTTACGATTGGACAATTTCCAAAACCCCTGTAGGGTATAAAACCCCCTAATTCTGCTTGGTTCGGCAGAAGAGCTGTCACTGAGACCCTTTGTGGAAGACCCCAGTAAAGAATCCTGTGGAACCTTATACAGCGTTTCTCCTCTCTCTCCCTGTGTCTGCTGCTGCGGCACAAGCAAGCAAAAGAGCTGAAATCACAGGGAGCTGATAATCACTGAGAGCTGAAATCACTTAAGCTTTCTTGGATGCCTGCAGCTGGGAACTGCTTGGGCGTTCGGATGTTGTTCTGAGCCTCCACTGAGCTATCCCGGCCACGGCAGCCCACCGGGCATAGCTTGGCTGGAAACTGCCGTGATATTGCACTAAATAGTTATTTAATTGTTTGCACTGGGTGTTTAGTAATTTGTACTGTTCACATGATTTGTATCCTATCACCACACGGTCCTCCCTTTTTCCCCCCACTAAGTGTCAATGTGGTGGTCTCTCCCTATGGCTGTGTTCGAGGGTGCCAGGACAAGTGAAGAGAGGAGAATCTTGACTCCATTCTTCAGGAGGCTGATTTATTATATTATGATATAGATTATATTAAAGTGCTATACTAAAACTACACAAAAAAGAATAGAGAGAAAGGATCCATCAGAAGGCTAGAAAGGACCGGAGAGGAATGATAACAAAAGCTCTCTCAGAGGGTCCGAGCCAGCTGACTGTGACTGGCCATTAATTAGAAACAACCAACATGCCCCAATCTCAGGTGCACCTGTTGCATTCCATGGCAGCAGACAGTTATTGTTTACACTTCTTTCCTGAGGCTCCTCAGGTCCTCAGGAGAAAATCCTGGCAAAAGGATTTTTCAGAACATACAACGGCAATATCCCCCTGGTTAACCCCTCCCCTCGCCCGTCCCCACTTGTATCCCATTGGCTGTAGTCATCTTCCTCTGCCTCCCTTCCCCGGGTATAAAGTCCCCTGCAAGAAGGGGACGGGCCTCTTTTTCCATGTGTTTTTCCATCTGGTGCTTCTCCTGGGAATAAACTGATGACATTTGTCCCCATGTGGAGAAAAACGCTTCTGGTCTTTTGCTTTCGTCCATGTAAGATCGTGTGGGCTGGGGTTCATAGCTAGCCAGATTGGACCCAAACAGCCCATCCAGTCCGGATTCTTACAGTCTGGGATTCCCAGCATAAGAATGAAGTGTACCTGTTGGAGTGACTTCAGAGGAGGGTCATGAAGATGATCACAGAGGGTGCAGCACCTCTCTTACAAGGAGAGACAGGGTTTTTCTGCCTGGAGAAGGAAAGGATCCGGAGAAATCTTTGTAGCATCTTCCAGTACCTAAGGGGGGCCTGCAAAAAAGCTGAAGAGTGACATTTTGCTAAGACAGCTTGTGACAGGACAAGTGGGGAAGAGATTCTTTACTGTGAAGGATGAGTGAGGCTCTGGCACAGGTGGTGAAGCTCTTGGCCCAGAGAAGATGTGGACACCCCATCCCTGGAAGTGTTCAAGGCCAGGCTGGATGAGGCTTTGAGAAACCTAAAGTAGTGAGCAACCTGAGCAACTCTGAACAATCAGAGCCTCTCCCTGACTACGGCATTTCTCCAGGCCTAAGGAATCAAGATCAGTGAAAGGGATGCAGATTGAGCAGGGAACCTCACAGAATCAGAAAATGTCAGGATGCATGGCTTCAACTGCAAGATCAGTCCAGGGAATCAAGAATTCCTTATTCTAATAAAAATATTATTTCCAGAGTGGGGGCAGCACAGCAGGGCAGATCTCATGTCTGGGGCAGCAGTGTGCTCTAGGACTCCCCTGACCACTTGCGATGTTCTGTCACAGTGAAGGAGATTGACTTCAGTTTTAAGAACAACATGGAATTTCAGAAACGAGTCAATAAAAACTTAGTATAGACTTGAGGATTTGAGCACAGCAGCAGTAGCACTTAGGCACAGCTATCTTGCAGATGAAAGGAAGATGTCAATAGACTTAGCCAGTGTAAATCCCATTTAACAAGATACATTACACTATCTGCTAGAGTGCAGACAAAAGCAAACATACATCTGACCTAAAAGATCTGCTCCAATCTCAAAAGTTCATCCTCTGGGACTCAGCATGACACACTCAAAGGACT